CTTATGGTTAACAATACTTTATGACGAGGAAATGAAATTGCTTCACAATATCGCTGGTGATGTTTAGTGAGTGGGCTTTTTAATTTTAATTTGTATTTAAAGCAGAAAAAAGTATAACGAGTTTTTAGAATGGCAACTTAAGCGAAAATAATTAGAGTTAGTAAACCAATATCTAGTAACTTTTCTTTTTATCTAATTATTTGCTATATATATTTGTGTTCTGTCGTGACCTTAGGCGCGGTGCTTGTTCATTTGCAAGTTACTTTGTACGCGTTGTTTGTGTTTAGTAACTAGAAACTTCTTATATGTTTGTTACGTAATTAGTTTTATTAACTATAACGATTATAACTTCATTGAAAATGCAATTATTTTTGTAAGTCTTTGTTTAAATCGTAAAAATTGCTTTAAAAGATACATTACAATAAAAAACAGATAAACAAAATCAAATTTACATAAAGAATACATACTTTTTAAATAAAAAATAAGAATATACAAATAAAATCTATAATTTATAATAAACTTTTAACATTTTGACAATTTAATATATATTTAAAACTTCTATTTTTGTAAACAAATAATATATTTATTCTTAAAACAATTTATGCTGGAAATCTCAAAACGTAACAAATCGTTTCTAAAACATTTTTTAAAACATTTTAACAGAATACTCTAGAACTTTATTTCACTAAGTCAGCGTATTTTTTGAACTAATAGAATTAGTTTCTTTGTTAATTTGGCGAGTTTTTAGTGTTTGCAAATATTCTTTTTATTCTTTTGCACAAAGGTGTTTTGGGAACATTCAAGTTTATTATGTTTCCATGTATGTCCGTAAAAAAAAATTTTTTTGTTTCGTACATAAACTTAAATGTTCTCAAAATGACTAAAAAACCTGGCCAGTTTTTCGCAACTAAATATAATTTCCGTGGTCAGTATTCGAGAGCAATCGCTCCCGCTTCCCGACCAAGCCTGATATATATATATATATATATATATATATATATATATATATATATATATATATATATATATATATATATATATATATATGTATATATATATATATATATATATATATATATATATATATATATATATATATATATATATATATATATATATATATATATATATATATATATATATATATGTACCAGGCTTGGTCGGGAAGCGGAAGCAATCGTTCTCGATTGCTGACCATGGAAATATTATTTAGTTGCAAAAAGCTGGCCAGATTTTATAGTCGTTTTAAGAACATTTCATAAAGCAAAAAAAAAAAAAGCGTAAAAGAATAATGGGACCGATGAGAGACAATTACAAAAAAAAAGTAATAATTAGGAAAATAAAATATCTTTTAATATGGAGAAACTTAAAGCAAAATTAATTACATTTAGAACAAATATTTTTGAAACATCGCTCTTTTATTATTTATTTATAAAATTAAGCAACATTTTTTTATATAAAGTAACATCTTACGATTTTTAAAAGGAAACAAATGTTCTTTATTTAACAAAGAGTGTAATTTAATTTTTATTTATATACACGTGTCTTATTTCCAGTGCTAGATTAATGTGGATAACCACAAAAAAAAAAAGGTTATTTTTATGAAAAAATGAATTTTTTGATATTTAAGTGATATAATTCTTTAATGATCCATTTTAACTATGGTCAAGCTAATTATATCTAACTCATTTCGAAAATTAATCTATTTTGGATAGTTTTTTGGTTAGTATAAAAAAGCGTCATTAGCAGCGACCATAGCAACAACATTTTTTTTTGTAAAGTCTTTATTAACTAGCTGTTCTTTATGATCAACTGCATAAAAATTTAAACATATTATGATTTATTATGCCAGCTTGGTTTGCAAGTGGTTACTTAAAGTTCTCATGCCAAATTATTTATAAGTTAATAATAAGTAGCATTTTATACAACAAGCTTTGTTTGCGTTTCAACTAAAGATAGTATTTTTCTCTCTCTCTCTCTCTCTCTCTCTTTATATATATATATATATATATATATATATATATATATATATATATATATATATATATATATATATATATATATATATATATATATATATATATATATATATATATATTATATGCATATATATATATATATATAAATAGCGATAGGAAATTAAAAAAACAACGAACGAAAAAATAAAAAGAAGATTTAATGGGTTTTCGAAAAATAGTGCTAAAAACAAGAGTCAAACACTACCTCAACCAACTTGTTCAAGTTCTAAAAAGCTCAAGTTTAGCCAAAATACAGACAGTGAAAACAGTTACTATATTATTTTTAACTTTTAATTCTGAAAGATATCATTGAGAAATTTTGTATATGTCCAAATTGTGAAAATAATATGTTTATTAATGATGATTCCAAACGTAGAATAGGGTTTTCTCACAAATTAGTTATAAGTTACAAAAAATGTAAATATGAAAAGCCTAGGTCGGGAAGCGTGAGCGATCGCTCTCGATTACTGACCACGGAAATAATATTTAGTTGCATAAAACTGGCCAAATTTTTTAGTTGTTTTGATAACATTTTAATAATGCGCTTAAGATTATTTACAATTACAAAAAATAATAACAAAAAAATTTGCGCTAAAAAACTTAAAGCTAAATAAATTACGTTTAGAACAAATATTTTTGAAATAACGCTCTTTTATAATTTTTTTTTTCTAATTAAGCGACGTTTTTTATATCATTTATTATAACATTTTACAATTGTTTAAAAAGGAAACAAATGTTCTTTATTTAACAAAGAGTGTTATATAATTTTTATTTATATAGTCTTTTTATTTTCTGTGCTAGATTAAGGAGGGATGGGGTTTGTTTAGTCATTTTTACGCTGTGGCACATACAAAAGCATCCAAAATAAAAATAGCCTCTGGCCTGAAAAGTCTAACAAGATTCTAAAAAAACTAACACAACTTTTAGTTTTATCTAAGCTAAATTATTTTATAAATAAAAAAGATAATTTTTTTAATACCTATTTTATGCTTCGCGTAGTTTGAAAAGGTTAACATATTTGAAACAATTCTTCTTAGTAAGATGAATAAATGAAATTATTAAATTATTGAATTACTATAGAAATTAAATAAACTATATAGAAATCAAAAAAAAAAGTTGAAAATAATTTTATGACGAGGAAGCAAAACTACTCTACAATATCACTAATGATGTATAGTGAGTGTGCCTTTTTTAATTTCAATTAGTATTTAAAGCAGAAAAAAGTATAATGATTTTTATAAATGGCAACTGAAGCGAAAATAATTAAAGTTTGTAAACCAATATCTAGAAACTTTTCTTTATATCTAATAACTTGCTATATACATTTGTGTTCTGTCGTGACCTCAGGCGGGGTGCTTGTTCATCCACGAGTTACTTTGTATGCATTGTTTGTGTTTAGTAACCCGAAACTTCTTATATGTTTGTTACAGAATTAGTTTTATTAACTTCGATGATTATTTTTAATAAACTTTCAAAAATTTGACAATTTAAAAAATATATATTATAAAACATTAATTTTTGTAAACAAATAATAATAGTTTGAGATATATGGCTTTGCAGATGTGGCTCCATGAATGAGCCATAGTATTGATAATACATTCATAAAATAATTTATGCTAGAAATCTCAAAACGTAACAAATATTAAATTAAAAAGCATTTCAGCACTTTCAGGTCGGCAGTTAAAACAACATATATATATATATATATATATATATATATATATATATATATATATATATATATATATATTTTATATATATATATATATATATATATATATATATATATATATATATATATATATATATATATATATATATATATATATATATATATATATATAATATGTTGTTCTAACTGCTGACCTGAAAGTGCTGAAATGCTTTTTAAAGGCGGGGTTGTTGCAAAAAAAAAATTAGAACTAAAAAAATATTCTCATAAAAGTATAATTATCATTTTAAATAAAATAAAAAACACAATGTCATTTTAAAAAAATTAATAGCATAATATATTATGCTATTAAATTAAAAAAAAAAATTAATAGCTTAATATATTATACTATTAATTTTTTTAAATGACATTGTGTTTTTTATTTTATTTAAAATGATAATTATACTTTTATGAGAAAAATTATACTTTTGCGAGAGCCATAAATAGCTCTCATAAACAACAACAACAACAAGCTATTTATTTTCCATTTTAAAATCATTTTTACAATAATAAGTTAAATAATAATAACAATAATTATAAAATAATAAGCAATAGTAATAATTTATAACAATAATAATAATAATAACAAAAAAAAGTTATAAACAATAATAATTACTATAATAATAAGTAAAATGATATGTTATTTTTTATTATAATAAATTAATGATTAGTATGGATGGTGTCACTCCTACAGAATTCTGATCAAAGGAGTGACACCATTAAAATTTAAAAGTATCTTCCACCTTGACAGGTATTGTTCCACTAGTTTTAGGGGAGTGTGGACAAGGCCTGTATATATATATATATATATATATATATATATATATATATATATATATATATATATATATATACACATACAACCTTCGAAATTAGGGTTAACTGTTAACTAACTGCCAACCTGAAAGTGCTTGAGGTCAGCAATAAACAGCTGACCTCGTTTCTATGTTTTATAGTCAGACCTTTGTATATATATACATATCAAGAGGCGAATTAAAAATTCTGTAAAAGTTTCTGGTCTTTAAATTTTGTTTTTCTTGAAAACCATTTTTGCACGTTTTTTTCGGACCATTCATAACAGTTTTACTAGAAACTAAAAATTTAAAGATCAGAATTTTTTACGGAATTTTCAATTTGCAATCACTTAATTCGCCCCTTGTACGTCGCAATCGCAATTTGCGATCACTTAATTCGCCCCTTGTACCTTGCACCCACAAATAGGCTTTGTTTCTTTCTGCATTTTTATCCATAACCTTAAATTTTTTTTTCAGGTTGTTGCCATGAAATTTATTCCAAAAAATAATCGCTCACAAAAAGAACTGCGCAATTTACAAAGAGAAATTGAAATCATGCAACACCTTAAACATAAACATATTGTGGCATTATTGGATTCTTTTGAAACAGAAAAAGAGGTAATTTGCAAAAACTGTTATACTTGAAACTTTATTTGAAACTTTATCAAAAGTTTCAGCTTTCAAAAAACTTTTAACTTCTTATGCTTAATAGTTTAAAAATTCCTAATTTTATTATTCAAAGGTATGTGTTGTCATAGAATATGCTGAAGGTGAGCTGTTTCAAGTGCTTGAGGATGATAACAAGATATCAGAAGAACAAGTAACATGTTTACATTATTTTAAATTTTTATTATAATTTTCAAGGGTGTTTCTTTGATATATATATATATATATATATATATATATATATATATATATATATATATATATATATATATATATATATATATATATATATATATATATATATATATATATATATATATATCAGGCTGTTACAGAAAGCCCTAGTGTATTTTCTTAAGACAACTCGACCATGGCTGTTTGCATATTTGGAAAATTTCAAAATTTTACATAATAAAATTATGGTAAACTAAACATAAAAGAATAAAATAACAATTAAATGAATAGAAAATTAAAAAAACAAACATAATAATATGAAATTCTAAAATAATAGATATAAAGTTTAACTAAACTAAAACTTGAAGAGGAAATTATTTTAAACGTTTATAGTTTATGTTTGGAATAAATAACTTCAAAACTTGAAATTTTTCTAATAATTTTATATTACCCCAAGTCTTTTAAATAAAGTAACAAATTACTTTTGATTTTATTTAAATTATTAAAGAATATTATAAATAATATAATTTATTTTTTAGTTAAAAGGTATCTATTTTATGATAAATAACTTCGATATTTCAAAATAACTTTTCATTAAATGTTTTTATATATTATGTGGAATGCTTTTAAATACAATTACTTTTAACTAAATAACAAATTACTTTTAACTAGGGATGTACTGAAGCTGCAATTTTGTTGAAGCCACTTTGCCGAAGCCGAAGCTTCGGCTTAAGTTATACGTAATTTAAAGCTCAATTTACTTCACCACGGTGATTTGAATAATCAAGTTGCTTTTAAAATTATATATCAATGTTTTAGGTTTGAATGTTTTGGCCTACAAGCCCATTTTAGGAAAATTATAAAACAAAACCAATATCATAAGAAATTTAAACAAATTTTGTACAAAAATTTAAAGAGTGAAATTTAGAGTCTTAACTCTATATATCTAGCAGCTATAGGAAAGATTACATCACTAAATCTTAGACATTTACTGATACTTAAGGTAATCTATGGTCTATTTTTTGAAAGAATTCATAAAAATGTAAACACGTAAAATGTAAAAATATAAAAGTAGTCATTATTTTAATTTGAACATAAAATTTGGTATTTGTTTTAAATTTTGTTAAAAAGTTGAAGCACTTGAACTAAGAAGCTACAGTCTATTATTTAGTTAATAAAAATTTATTCAATGAAAGCAGGCGTATTATAATTTAAAAATGCAATCTGTTCTCCATGTTCGGGTAATAGTCTGTTTCTTTTTGCTTCAAATATGTTTCCAGATGTGCTAAATAAGCGTTCACTTTTTACAGATAAAGGAGGCGCGCACAAAACTTTCTTTGAAAACTTTGACAAATTCAACTTGTAAGTATCTTTATCAGAGGAAGTGTAACGGTATGCACTCTACCACTTATAAGGGCATTTATTCTTTGGCAGTATTGGAAGGCTCAAGTAGAAGTTGACTTCATCGGTGCTGATACATAAAATGTAGGTGATAACTTTAGGTTTAAATTTTTAAAATATTACCTTTTAATCAACTAAACAAAATAAAAGAATGCTCTTATCCGTCTTTTGAAATATAAAAAATGGAGATTGAGAATAGAGATAAAAAAAAAATCTCATTGATAAATGATAATTAATATTGGTCATATGTAATCAAAAATTTAAAATGGCTATAGGAAATACAAAAGGAACATAAAATATAGAAAAGGATATAATTACCAATTTAATTTAAATATTTAATGTATAAACAGTATAAAAATCATAAACAGATTCTGTTTTCTTACCATTTTTCTTTGACAGATAGAGTTTTTCCCATTGAACTAGTGTTTTTTTTCTTTTTTCTCCGTCCGTCAGAATTTTCTGAATTTTGTAGAGCATATTCATTTGCACCGATTTGGTGGAACAAGCTATATATGTCCATGCTCATTAGTTTTTTTTTTTTTTTTTTAATGGAGAGCCATGGCCATCAAAATCTGAGTCAGACTCATGAATTTTAGATTCTGAAAATGAACTTAATGATTCTTCTGAGTCTGATCCACTACCTCTTGCTACACCAAATTCAATTTCTTTTACTTGTTCTAAATGAGATTTGGAACAAAAACGGTAGAACTCTAGATGGAGTATTTCTTTAAACATATTATGATTCTTGTCTTCAACAAACTTTAACTTGAAAGAGGATCAAGCATCATCGCGATTTTTAAATCAACATTATCCTTGTATTTTTGAAAAAGACAGTTAAAATCTTTCTTAAGTTCATCAACAACAGTTTTTATTTCAGTTGCCGTGTCACAAGCGTAGTCTAGAAACTTTTCAATTGCATAAATAAATGGTATAATCTCTGATATACATGCAGTTTCTTTACTCATGTCTTTTGTAGTACTTTCAAAGTGTTTTAATATGCATACAAGTATTTCAGCAAGTTGCCATTGATTTCCCGTAGGATTTTTTGCATTTGTTTGATTTCTGGTAATGCAATACAATGTAATAGCTTTTTTCTGCTCAATGAACCTTTCAAGCATATAGTATGTCGAATTCCATTCTTGTGGAAACATCTTGAATTATGTTATGCTCTGGCAATTTTAGTTGACTTTGAATTTCCTTTAGTTTAGCCACAGCACTAGATGAGTGGTGGAAATGTCCTGCTAATACTCGAAAAACAGCTATTGTATCCCTTGCTGTTCTTTGTTCTCTAAAGATCTTTTTTTGAATACAAAGTTGTAAAGTATGTATCAGACATGGAAGATGTTTATCGCCCAAATTTGACTCAGGGTTGGCAAAAAAATCCAACCCAAAAAAACCCACCTCAAAAAAACCCAAAAAAACCAAAAGATATTTGGGTTTTTTTAAAAATGTCTTTTTTTACAACAGATAAATCTGCCTTTAGCTTTTTTAAACTCTATATTGTGAATAATATAAGATTTATTATTCCTTTATTATGAAATATATATATGTTTATTATATTTTTCAGTTCAAACTCTTTACAGAATAATCCATAATATGATTAATCATTTGCATAGCTGGTTGGGCTAATACAGAAAAAACAATTGGTGAAAATCAGTTTAAAGAAAAAGAAAAATCAATAAAGATTACAAACTATATTTCTTTAAATTACAAAAGCTTTACAAATTTGTTGTTTACCAATCAAATTCTTTGCCTCTTAAATGTCTATATATTCGAACAAGCTTTTCAGCTCTATCGTTTCCTAACCTATTTCTTAACTTGCTCCACACAATACCAAAAGTAGAAAACACTCTTTCTATGGAGCCAGTGCTTGCAGGACAACTATGAAGAGATTGAAAAAACTTTGCAAACCCTTCTGGTAGTGGTAAAGATTTTTGATGCAGCTTTTGCTTCATATCTATTATACCCCACCATCTTTCACTTGAAATTGTAGCAATAAAGTTATCGTTAAACATATGCTGTGGAAAGGTAGTTGTGACTTTTAGCCTGAAATCATAGTAACCAGCCAAGTATTCATTGTGCCTATCACTTAGCCAAGCTTCTGCAGCAGCTTCTTGTTCAATGCTTAAAGATTTTCCTAAAATTAAAGAATATTATTTTTTTGTTTTATATTTTATAAATGAGAAATAAATATCCTATATGGATATTATTTATTAGTCGTATATTGTGTCTGTAGTCTAGAATCAACTAATGTGTTATGTAAGTTAAAAAAATGTAGTTTTAAGTCTGTTCTTTCAATTTTGAGGTTAGATTTTGTGGCCATACCTTGGTAATTTATATCAGTCAAATTTGCCAAAAAATGAAAAGGTTCCATTGCTTCATCAAATTTTAACTTAATTTCAATATAATATGGCTTCAGGTCTTCGTCTTTCAGGAGAGACAACCAAATTTCACATGCATCTGACAATGATGTTGAATCACTTTGTAGCTATAAATATAATTTTTTTTTAAGTACCTATATAAATATTTTAACAGTATATTGAAGCGCAGTTTACAATATTTTAATGACTAACAACTTCAATTTACCTATCTACCTATCTAAAGCTATCTCACATTTCTCCAGTTGAATTTGAAGATTTTTAGCTTCCCTGAAAATTTCAGCATTATCTATAATTTTCTTGATATTATGTTTAATATCACCTTCATGCTTCTCTATAATATCAAGATAGTGGCTATAATTTTTAATATAAGTCTTTAAACAGTCTACTTGAGAGTTCCATCGTGTATCATTAGGAAGTTGCGGCATAACTCCATTCCTATCATCCAAAAGCCAACCCTGAAATTAAGAACTAGTTCAATTAGTTGATATAATAATAAAATTCACTGAGTAAATGAGTAAAAAAAAATTGAAACTGTAAAATTAAAACAATATATTATAAACAATATCACACTATATACTCACACGTATTGGTGATGATTTCGGAAGTACTTGTTAACTTCAATTAAATGTGCCAGAAAACTTGGTGTCACCTGCTGCTCCATATGTAAGTAGCAATGGATATTACTCTTTAAGAATTTCTTTCATCTTTTTCATTTTGTTCTCGTTATCTGTACAAATGGCAAATACCTGTTGGAAGTAGACAAATATTCTTATATTTTTAGTTAACTTAAATTAAAATAAATACTATGATACAGTATTATTATACTTACATCTTGTTCATAAACCTTCTTGATGTGTTTTATTGCTTCAATGGCTAATTGAGCACAATATTCTGAAGTTTTTTTTTCGCTTCCGGCATCTATAGCGGAGATTAAATATGGGGTCTTTCCATTATGTACACTGTGAGCAATAATTGGATCATTTCTGACACTGCTCCGACCATCTTGTATTGATGTAATAGTACTCCTATTATTTACAAATTCACTTTTCATAGATACAATTACTTCATCATTCACTTTATCCAGTAACTCTCTTGAAAGTTTCTTCCGGTTTGGAGGATAATAACCAGGTCTCAAAAAATTGATACATTTTTTAAATTCTCTATTTTCAACAGCATTAAATGGAATATTGCAAGCAAA